CTTTGCCTTATGTATGCCTATGGAAACAAACACTTTGTGAATGTTTTCTATTTTTCTTTTTGACTATTCTGTTATGTTCCTTGTATGATTATGAGTATGAATATGTGTTTAATTTTGAAATTGGATATGTTTGCTAGCAAGATTGACCCCCCCAATCCTTTGTTGGATGTATGTCATTGAAAATAGACACTTTATGAATGTTTTATGTTTTGCTTTTTGATTGTTCTATTATGTTCCTTGTATGATTCTGAGTATGGATATGTTTGATAGCATGATTGATTCCCAATCCTTTCCTTGATGTATGCCTATGGAAATAAACACTTTATGAATGTTTTCTATTTTACTTTTTGATTATTTTGTTGTGTTCCTTGTATGATTCTGAATATGAATGTGTTTAATTTTGATATTAGATATGTTTGATAGCAAAATTGACTCTCAATCCCTTGCTTGATGCATGCTTCTAAGAACAGGCAAAATGTGAAAGTTTTTTGTTTGGATGTTTAATGTTTCTAATGAGTTCTTTGTTGAATGCTATTCATGAATATGTATTTAATTTTGAAAATAGATAAGTTTTTATATGAATTAGAGTGCTCTGTGGGTTCCTGTGGGAAACCCGATGACGAATAATTAGGGACATGATATTTTCATGAGAACCTTTATGTGCGTAACTTTATGGGATGATTATGAAGATGTGAAATGTGACAAGTGATATGAGATATGATGAGACATGATAAGTGAAATGTTGAGTCAATGAATAGTGAATGTGTGACATGCATCATGTGTATATATGACTTTAGGTGTATTGCTTAGGCTGCATGTCAATGATGTGTTGAGCTATTCCAGGTGTACCTTGTGTCACCAATGATGTATTGCGCTATTACAAGTGTGTCGTTTAGGTTGCATGCCAATGATGTATTGAGCTATTCCAGGTGTACCTTGGGTCACTAGTGATGTATTGAGCTATTATAGGTGTGTCGATTACGCCGCACGCAAGAGATGTATTGAGCTATTCCAGGTGTACCTTGGATCACCAGTGATGTATTTATGAATGAATGTTGCCCCAGGTATGTTGTTGTAGCAGCATGCCAGTGATGAGAAATGTGCAACTTCAATATGGCGCCACATGCATGCATTTATGAGTAAAGTCCATGACATTATTTCATGATAAGTGAATGCACATGTATTCTAATGTATCTATAACTTGAGAGTTATGCTTGGTTATGTGTAACTTGTGTGGTATTTGTTATGATTGTGTATGTTGCCTAACATTTATTTTTGTGTCTGAACTAGAGTGAAATGTTTCTCACTCCCTTGTTGCTCTATGTGTATTTTTATTGTGTTGCAGGTGATCATCAGCATGGAGATGTTGGTGATGAGGTTTAAGTTTCATTGTGGGGTGTGCTCTGATAAGAGATGTGACATCGGGACTTAGTTAGGATCAGCATAGGAGTTTCATTACCGTTATTGTGTTTTAGAAAGATTAATGTTTTATTTTGTCATCATTTTAGAATTGGACTATGATTTGTGAAATATGAATTTGAACTCTCTATCTATGTGTTTTGAAACCTTGTTTCAATTAAGAAAGTTTTATTTGCTTTGGAAATGTACTTTATATTTATTGTGTAATATGGATATAGGATAGAAGGTGTCACAACATCACTGTTGTCGTTGCCAACACCATTATGGGCGATGATGGCAACTATGACGACAATGGTTGTAGTGATAGTGATAGTGATAATAATAGTGTAGACGACGATGGTGTTGGCGACATGATGATGGTGGTGGTGATAATTGCAATGGCGATGGTGATGAGGACAATGATAAAAAAAATAACTACGATAGTAGTATAAAATCCTAAGTTTTCTAAATAATTAAAAAGATGTTTTAATTAATTAAAGGGGTTTATAAAATATTTTAGATGCTTTTAATAATATGAGTGTTTTTAATTAATAATGAAAGGTTTGTGAAATTATTTTGTTATAGTAAGTATTTGGAGAAAATATATGTTTTAATTAATCCTTTGATTGAGTACATTTTAGAAAATATATGTTTTATAATGTGATTTTATTTTAATTATGTCTTATGTTTTATGTTTTAAGAGAAATAGGGGAAGAAGATGATCAATTTTATGAAGTTTGGACATTTTTGCCTTGTAGTGATATTAGTAATGTGTGTAATGTGCACTTTTGACATTATGCTAATGTGAAAACATGTAATTGAATTGGATCTTGTGTGACATGCATTATAAGCATAAAATGTTTTGTGATTGGTACGGTATATAATTCACTGTTAGGAAAAGTCTCTTTATGTATACTTAGAGATTCATAACCTAGAAGACAATTGAGTTTACAAGCCCTTGTTCACTCGTTTGTGAACATGGGCTAAAACTTGTGCACCACAATTGTCCTAATGTGTCCTGGTGTGTCTCTTCCTAGTGTAGGTGAAAATTTGATCTGACATGTTCTCCTAAGTTACTCTATGTGTGTTTTTAGGCGATCCGTACAAAATATTTTACTGGCACCAAATTATTCAAATACTCTTTCAATAAATAATGTATGTGATATTCAAATGATTTTTTTGAAATATCCCATAAAGTATTTTGATATTTTAAAAGAGTAATTTGATACTTAAAAAAAAGTAATTCCTTATTAATTTTTTCCGCAATCAATTTTAAATTATTTTCAAACAAAAAATATCAAATATAAAAAAACAATGCTCACGCTTATGCACTCAACATCAAGTCACAAATTTGGGTAACTACAAAAAAAAACACAAAATAAAATTGGGCTACTCAATATTCAAAATAAAACATGAGGTCTTGGATAAACTTCTTCACAAATATTTTTATGAGTAAAAAATGGAAATAAAAAATGAAATAAGCTTTATAATATAAAACTAATCTATTCATAAATTAGTTTGTAAAATATTTTTCATATATTTTTTCCAAAAATTTATTATTAACTTATGTATATGATTTTAACTTATAGAATTTTTTTTTCTTTTTTTAAATAATTCTAAAAAAATTATTCAAAAAGACCTATAGTATAACTCACACATAATCCTTATAAGAAAAATATAAATTACTGGTGGATAATTTTCAACGGATATAAATCCGTCGAAAAATTTATATTTTTGATGGAAAAAAAATTCATAAGAAAAGTTATATTACCAATATATAATTTCGGACAGATACAAATCTGTCAGAAAATTTAAGTTTCTGACAAATTTTACCGACAGATAATTTTTTATGGATACAAATCTGTTAGAAAATTTAAATTTCCAACGAATACAAATTTGTCAAAAGATGTATATTTTCGATGGAAAAAAATTCATAGGAAAAGTTATATTATCGACGGATAGAAATCTTTCAGAAAATTTATATTTCCAACGGATTTTACCAACGGATACAAATCTATCAAAAAATTTATATTTTCAATGGAAAAAAAATTCGTAAAAAAAGTTTATTATTGATGAAATATTTTCGACGGATTTATATTTATCGAAAATGTAAAAGTTTCCGACAAAAATTTTCAACAAATGCTTAAGTCAAAATTTTCTAATGGAATGTTACTTATGAATTATGATTTGTCAAAAATTTCAAAGAGGGTATATGATCTCTCACAATCTTCTACAATACTATTACACACAACGGGTTAATAAGTAACAAGTAATTTAAATATAACATTTAACATAATTTATCTTTTATTTTGACTTAAATAATATATTTTTATTTAACTTAAATAATTTATTATTTTGGGATTTTTTCTCAAACCTTATTTATTTATATTATAATAAATATTACATACAGTGACATACAAAAAATATCATTATAAGTACAATATATGTAGGTTTATATTTATTTGACATATAGCTTCATATAATTTTTGTGTTGATTTTAAATGAGATTTAACAATATATTTTGCATGTCACTATAACTTATATTCACATTTTTTAAATAATATATCAATATATATTATAGTTATTATGTGCGTAAAAATAATTTTTAGTAACACATATTATCACTATAAGATGCGTGTCATTGTGTAACATTTTTCTTGTAGTGTTACTATATCATATACTTATATTATTTTGATCAATAAAATCTATTTATTCAACATAATTTATGAGTGTTATAGTTAATTTGTTATATTAAATTATCGGATGGCTCCTTTAATTATACTTGAAAACTTTTATGAGGCTTAAAAGTAAACAAATGGGGAAATCTTCTTCATAAATTGTGCAAAATTCAAATCTCTTTCTCCTTGCTGAGAATTGGATTTAAAGTTTTGTTAGATTGACAAATTTTCCGAGAAGAACAATATACTCTTTATAAAAACTACATTTTTAGCGTCAAATAATTATTAGTGCATGGTCATTCAATTTTAAAAATTTAATAACAAATATTTTTTTTTCATTTATTCGAATATTTCAAGAAAAATTATAAATTTATCAAAAAAAATTTGTTATGTAGTGAGACACATCTTACAGTGACACAACATTTGTCACTGAAAATTACTTTTACCTACACTATAGATACAATATATGTTGTTATATTGTTAAAAAGTGTAGGTATAAGTTATAATGACACAATATATGTTGTTGATTCTCATTCAAAAGTAACACTAAAGTGTATGCAACTATATATCGAATAGATTTATACTTATATATATTGTATCTATAGTGACACTTTTTGTATGTTGCTATATGTAACATTTTTTGTAATGTATATAAATTAATTTTCCATTTATTCAAGAAAGAGAACATTTGCTTACATCATCAAGGTGATGTACTCCAACGTCATATATAAAGATCATGGTATCCCAACACCCTTTTAACTTTTGACAGCTATTCACACCAAACTTATCTCAACCGTTCATTACAACTCAATCAACGGTAGTCATAGTTGATCCATGTCAATCAATTTCATTGGTCCATTTCCATCACAACCCATTATATAAGCCAAGCAATTGCTTAGACACATTTCATATCTTCCCTTTTGTTTCTCTCTTTGTTGTTAGAACTCTTTCACTTCCTTCATAGCCTTTTTTGTTCGATCGAAACTCATAACCATTCACCAATGGAAAGTCGAGATAAAACCTTAGGATCCAATGCTACCAAAAGGGGCACCTCAAGAAGCAAGAAAGCCGGTCTCCAATTCCCTGTTGGTCGTGTTGCTCGATTCCTCAAAGCTGGCAAGTATGCTGAGCGCATCGGCTCTGGTGCCCCTGTATACCTTGCCTCTGTTCTTGAATATCTTGCAGCTGAGGTAATTTTCCTTGATTGCCTTGAATTTCCTTTTCATATCTGTTGTTGGATTTAGGGTTATAAAATTAGGGTTTATTTTCCCCAATTTTAGAAAATAATTATGTTTTGGTGATCAATTTCAAATAATTGAAATGATGATTTGCTTTAATTAGTATTAACTGTTTGTCGAAAGTTTATTTTACATTTTTTTGTTTAGGTTTTGGAGCTGGCTGGAAATGCTGCAATGGACAACAAGAAGACTCGAATTATGCCTCGACATATCCAATTGGCAGTGGGGAACGATGAAGAGTTAAGCAAGCTTCTCGGAAATGTGACCATCCCCAATGGGGGTGTGACGCCTAATATTAATAGCATGTTGTTGCCCAAGGCTGGGACCTCAAAGAGTGTTGGGACCTCAAAGGTTGCTAGTGTTGATGATGACTTTTAAATGTTTTTTTCCTACCTAGTTTGACCTGTTTCCCTTTTTTGCTTATCAGTATTGAACAAGGTTTGATCCTTGTGCTATGTAGTTGCAATTTATCTTCTGTTAATGATTTAAATATAAGGATAATCAAGTTGTTTCTTTTCAAAATATTTTGTTGAAATTTAATTTTGCTTTTTTATTTTTATTTTCTTCCTTTTTAGGTTCAATGTACTTATTTGTTGGAAAAATTGCAATTTTAGTCTATCTATTATATGAAATTCGTAATTTTGGTTCCTTTATAGAAATTTAATTCATTGATCATTAAAATTTTGTAATGTTGATTATGACCTAATATCGGCAAATGATATGATAATTATTATTTAATAATATTTAGTCTAGTTTTAGTTTCTATTTTTATTCAATTTTCATCTTATTTCACTACTTTTATGTGACAAAATTGAAATTAAAAGTGAAATTTGGCATAAACAATTTTAAACGTTAATTGTCATGTCAGATCATAATGAATATTACAATTATAATGATCAATAGATTAAAATTCTATTAAAGGATCAAAATTATAAATTTTATAAAATTAGATGATTAATATTGACGAATTAAAAATTGAAGGACTAAAATTACAGATAACATATTATACGAGGACAAAAACTAAAATTTAACCTTTTTTTTAAAAGCACAATTATCCTCCACTAAAGGCAATTTCGTTTGAGCCTATATTGAATATAGCCTCTGATACCTAGTCATAATGGATGATGTTTGCTTGAGTTTTCTATATGCTTAATCTTAAGATTGATGTATTATGATAATCAATAAGAAAATAGGTTGACTTTGATCTTATCAAATACGAGCTACAATGAATAATATTCAACATTGTCTTCCATATATCTCTTTTTTGGATAGATCTCATATAATGTTGTTATATTTGTTTGACATCATGCAATTTAGGTAAAACAAACATTGACACAAATAAGGCTAAAGAAAGGGAAAAATATACATAGAATGTTCACAAATGAAGGATTTGTAACACCTTGATTTTTTATAAAATAATATTTATTTGATTATTATTTTATAATAGTTTTCAACCTTTTAATTAAATAATATTGTATTTGAAGTTAATAGGCTAAAAAGTGATTTTTTTCATGAATAAAAAAGCTTATGTTTTTTGTTTAAAAATAAGGGCTAGTCTTTTATCTCCATGATCTCACTTAGTTCTCTTTTTATAGTTATGAAGGATTATGAGACTTATTCTTCCTCATTAATCTCTTGTTTTTTCTTCTTGACTTTTGGGTACCTTGATGCCGCCATAAATTCAAGCGAAGAAACAAGAAGGTTGAGATGAGAAATGTTATCAAAAACATTGCCTTGCACAAGCATTTATCAAGTAAGAAGGAGAGTGAGTTATCTCACAAAGAGTGAATCGTGAGAGTGAAGTTGGCCCTAAACTTCGTGGGCTTTATGGTTTTCCCTTTTGTCATGTTGTTTAGATGAGCTTTGAATATTCAAAGATTTTTGTATATTTTATTTTGGTATGATAAGAATGATTATCTTGTTGTTGAATCGCTATCATGAGTTTGTGTTTAAAGTTATTGATATATTTAATTGCAATTGATTTGTCGATGATTGATGTTTATACTTTGCAATTGATTGGTATTATTTCCATATTGTGACAAGACCCTTAGACTTGTAATAATTGTAAAGATAAGATAAGATAAGATAATAATAGAAAAAAAATGAGACGTCCAGTTTTGAGATAAAAATATAATAATTATAAATATGAGATAAAATCATAGGTTTAAACAATGTTTTCAAAATTGGACTAGTCATTAAATCGATATGGGCACTGATTCAAGATTTAATAGTTCAACCATGATTGAATTATGCTCAAATTGATATTAATAAAATAATTATTATTATTATCTTTACAAAATTAGTATTAACTAAATATAATATATAATTTTATAACACTAAATATTAAAAGAAAATATTTATTATAGATTCTTAACATTTAATATACATGTAAACTTCTAAGTTATATAAAATATTTAAATTTAAGTTTTAATAAAATATAACAAGACCCACTAATAATAACAAGTTTACATATAGAATAAAAAGTATCAAATTAATATAATATAAACTATACAAAATAAAGATATTAAAAATTTAAATTAATATAAATTATTATATTATTTTTATGAGACAAATATTAAAAATAAGTTATTCTAATGAATAATTTTTTTTATTGAATATGATTTTCATTGAAAATATTTTAAATTAAATTTGAAAAAATAAATATTTTTAATTGGATCAATGCAAATCAAATTTTTACTAGTTCTTGATTTGTTCGATGTAGAATGATTTTCTGGCTAAACCAAACCGATTAAGGATTGATTTTTGGTCGAATCAATTTGATCGACTAGTTCAATTCGATTTTCATAACAATGGTTCTAAAACTCAAATTGGACTAGTGAATTTGACCAGTTCAACTAGGAACTAGACCAAAAGTTGATTTGGTAATGATTTCATATTGAACATGTAACTAGTCTGTGACATGTCATTAACTTGACCTTTAAACTAATATGAGTTGCAACTCAGTCCTTAAACTAATTGTGGTTCTCAAATATTTGAAAAGCTTGGCGCTCCTACATGTCCATAAGTTTTTATTACTTTTGGTGAAAGTCAAATCTAAGATTTTACACACAAGCCAAACTTAAAGTTGTTGGTTCTAAAATAAGAGAGAAAACAAAAAAAGACAAACCATATACAAGAACAAATCAATAACCTTAGAAACAAGAATACTCAACAAGAATATAAAACGTAAACGCAAAAAAGTTGCAATAGCAAAAAGAAAAAGATTGAGGGAAGAGAATACAACAAACTTACGTAGTTCAACCAATTTGGCCAACATCCACGGAAGATAGAATGTTTCACTATCTAAAAACAAGATTAAGTCTTTACAACAAAACAACCTTTTGCTTTCTTAGAAATGTCATTGATCTCTCTAATCGGTTCTCCTCTCATCTTCATGTATTTTCCTTTCAACTCTCTATGCTTACACTTAGCACTTTGCTCTCACGCTTTCTCTCTCTATGTTGCTCTTATAAAGGATCCACAAACACACACACACAAACACACATGTATAAGGATCCAAGAAACTAAGATTGTGTTTTATAAAATAGGACAAATTGAACCATCAAATTAATGAAGACAGACTATGTGTAGTCAAAACCCATAAGATGAATGGAGATAGACCGAATGTATAGTATGAACTTGTCAAATGAATGGAGATAGACTAAACTTATAAATAAGGATGGGTATACCGACCGATCCGGCCCATTTAAGGCATGACTTGCAAAACCTGCATTTTATACTGATCAAACAAATTTGACCCATAAAATAAATGGACTTATTTTTCAAGTCCGTATTTGATCTACCAAAACCTGTAGATAAACGGACCGGTTCGTGGGGCTAAATAATGATTAAAAAATAAAAATACATAAAATTAGAAAAAAAAAATCTTTTTCATTTATAAGCTAAATTTCATCACACTAAAATTTATCAATATTTAAAATGGTTTAAAATACTAAAAATTAAAATGTTAAAATAAAAAATGTTACAAATACTTATATAATAGTATCAAACTTTCAATAATAAAAGTATCAAAATGTCATAAAAATAATCCAAATGACAAATACATGTCAATTAAACATAGTTTTAATGTTATAATAATTTAAAAGATTAAATATAAAACTAAATATTAAGGTCTTAATATCTAAAAATATTAATAAGTGAAGTCCGCGAACGTCATGGATTGGGATAAAAAATTAAACATTGTCATACGAATTTGAAAAAAATGGGTTCGTTATCCGTGAAGTCCATGGGCTTACAAACTGATTAGCGGATCTGGGTCCATCTACCCACCCTTACCTATAAAACTATACAAATGAAAGACTTTACAAAGCATATATATGATATGGTAGATTTTGAGTCATAATCAACAATTCTCCACCTTAACTCTAAATCTACATAAATAAAAACCCTTTCACGACAATACCACTCTCCCATTTTAAAACGAACATCAAACAAAGTTGATCAAGTCCAAACAATGCTTGAACTTGGATGTGGAAAGAGATTTCATAAACATATCAATAAGATTGTGTTTAGATGCAATCTTCTCAATTTGAATTTCTCTAGAGTTAACCACATCTTTGACAAAGTGAAGTGTTATATCAATGTGTTTCGTTCTCTCATGATAAACCTGATGATTTGCAAGATGTATAACACTTTAGCTATCATAGTAAATTGTCACACATTTTTGTGATATGCTTGATTCACCAATCATCCCTTTTAACCATAAAGCCTCATTCATTCATTCAACAAGAGCAACATATTTTGCTTTTGTTGTAGACAAAACTACCACAGGTTGAAAATTTGTTTTCCAACTAACAATAGTCCCAAACAAAATGAACACATACCTAGATAATGATTTCTTTGTATCAATGTTTCCTGCATAATTTGCATTAACATATCCCATAATAGTTTCTCCATCTTGAATTGTCTTCTTATACCTCAAACCAGATTTTTGAGAACCATTCAAAACCTCAATACCTTACTTCAAAGCCCCCAAATGAGCTTGACTTAGATTTGCCATAAATCAGCTAACAATGCTAATAGTATAAGCCAAATCAAGCCTGCTACAAACCATGTCATACATTACACTTCCTACTCCACTTGCATATGAAATAGAGCATATCTTATTCCTTTCTTCTTTAGTTCTAGGGTCTTGTGTGATGACCCAAAGGAGTACTAATAGGTTTAGATTGATGCATCCTAAACCTCTCCACTACCTTTTACATGTACTCATGTTGAGATAAAAAGAAATTCTCCCTCTGACTTGTTTCTCACAATATCCATCCCAAGTATCCTCTTAGAAACACCAAGATCTTTCATCTCAAACTTAGAATTTAATTTCTCTTTGAGCATACCAATCTCATCCTTGCTAAAGCTTGCTACTAGAATATCATCCACATATAATAACAGGAAAATAACACATTTTTATTTATTTTTTAATATGTAAACATAGTTATCATAATTGTTCCCCAAAAAACCCAAGCTTAACAAAAAATATCAAACTTCTTATACCACAAATACAA